GCTCCTATGATGCTGCTTGGCCTGCTGTGTTCATCCAGCTCTACACCTTGTTGTCTTGGAACCGTGTTCTGTTCTTTAATCTCCAACAAATATTGTACTATTTTAACACGTTCCCCTTCCACACACATGATGCATACTGAGTGCTACCTACCGATCCAAACAAGTTTGACTAACAATAATGCCCGTATTCTGATTTCGAGCGCGTCCAGTTGAAATTGTTTAGACTAATTCATTCAAATGACTTAATATTTTAGGTCAATATATTCATATCTAAAAGCTCGCTCTCCTCATTTTCTCTTCATTTACCAAATTTAATCTGTGCAGGAAGCAACATCAGGTAAATGTGTGTCCTAAAACAGAAATGATGTAAATTATCGGACAGAGCGGTTTATTTGGTGGTAGTGGAAGCATTACACTAACGTTATCACATATATAAATCACTGGCTGCAAAAGAACGGAAACAGTAGGCTTGAGACGGCAACATAATTTCATCTCTCCCTTGAACAAAAATGCCAATTACGCGAAATATCTGAGAAAACTAGTGAGACCATTAAAGGTATGCAGGCTGCAGAGACAAAGCTCCGTCAGAAAACTGAAACCATATTACCATTCAAACAATTCAGTGAATATTAAGATAACCCCATGAATTACAAAAGGTGAATCTGAAAATGTATTTAAAATTTTTAAAAAGTGAACAGCCCTTAAACAAACTTTGTATTTCTGATGATTTTCATTCCATTAAACAACATTGTAATGGTTCCTACAGCGTCCGTGTTTGTGTATCAATTACAATAAACTGAGGGAATACATGCTCGCTAAGAATGACAGGCAGCATATCTGAAGGTCTACCGTTACTATTGATTGTATCCATTCGTCTTCCATGAATGATATTATGATGTGCATTAGAAAGAGGAAAAACTGTTCTCGAAGCTGCATGCAAAATCTTCATGGGAAGCATACTGCATAAATACTCCTGCCGGTGTGAAAAATGTAAAGATACTTTCATTATTTGCATTCATGTTTTAACGAATGTATTAAATAGCATGTACAATAATAACATGCACCCACGTTTCCTTTAACATAGAAAGAGGTTCCAAAGTGCTTTACAGAAGCATAGGGAAGACGATGACAGCAGAATTAATCAACATTTTGAATGATTCCGCTTATAAAGTTAAATAATTGTGCGCATCGATTGGATATACACAATACAATAGAATTGCAAAGAAAAGTTGCCGATGTCCTGGTCTCCATCTCCCCTGAGATGCTGTAATGTTGTGGACTGTCTGATTTGTGGGAGTTGTTCACTGCGTTTCGCACTTCCTCTTTCTCCCTCTCTCTCTGGGTTACTTACGTGTATACAGCAGCGACAAGCTGAAGCTCCTTTCATCTTCACGGTGGCAGGCGTTATCTCCTTGTAAACCGCTGACAACCAGTTTGTTGGCGTCACCCGGGCACTGCAATGACGATGACAACATCAGAATGACAGATTAGAAAGAGCAGGCAATGGTGATCCTTCCCAGACCCTCAGTGCTTCCGAGAGCAGTGCTCACATCAGAAGGTCAATTACATCTCGCTTTTTTACCTCCTCCCCCCTCCCAGCCCAAACCTCCTCCTTCGCACCCCACCCCCCCACCCCAAACTGTGTTCCCTTGAACTGTGTCCTCTTGCTTTGAGTTCCTCTGCTGGCTCTGGTCTCCGATCTTCACACAATGGAATCAAGAAAAGAGATGCTGCTGTTGATGGAGCGAGGTCAGCATGGTAATCTTGTTGGCAGGAGGGTGTCGAATTTGTCAGAACCACCTGGGAGCCCAGTCATCGAGTCCCATGAAAACGTGATTCCGAGGAATTGCTTGAGCCCTGGGTCAGCGCCTGTGACACTGGAGAGTGGAGACGAGGAGACCGATGGTAGCACTCGGATGAGACCAGCTTCAAGGCTCCTTGTCCCGGATAAGTCATCATCAGATGGCTGCTCGGCGAAAAGCAAATGTCTGTCTGTCCAGAACAGTCCGGAAACGGAGTCAGATTATTATGATGAGATAGATGTCAGTTGCACTCCAGACTGTGTGTCGGGAAATCAAGACTACCACGGAAACAAAGGTACTTATCAATTTCGATTGCAATACCATTTACTTTACACCCTGGAGTTCATGTTAAAGTTGTTCTTTAAGTAACGATTGCTGAATTTAAATCTTAGAAAAATTAGATCTTACTGCCTTTCGTGACAAATGTTTAAATATAGTTTATCGAAGCATAAATTAATATCTTTCAGTTTATATTGTAGAATTAAATTTTACGTGTTATTTAATTGGGCGATTCCATGATTTGCATTTTCACAATTAAAACCCGTCTAAACGGAGTTTTGATGTAATATATATTTTTGTTTAAACTGCAAAACGTGTAATCAAGTGGTTCAAGAAAATAGAGCAAGAAACTAGTTCCGATTTTTATTTGGTTTCTTGATGGATTTCGGAAACTTGTTTAAAGACCGTAAAGTGATTATTGAGTCCCAGGTTCTGAGGAGTTAACACCTTGAAGGTTTCAGATTGTCACTTTCGTAGGGTCTTGTTGGCGCCAGCTCGGAAATAGGTATCTCTGGATGAGCTTCAATAGGAGCCGGTGCATATGAAAGCATCTCAGTTAGTCAGCAGCCGGCATGCACTTTATGGTCATATTCAAGCCGGGAGGAGACTACAGAGAGAGAAAAAAAAGCTGAGAAAAGGGGGAGTCCATTTCAAATGAACTCAGGAATTTCTACCACATTTTGTGTGGCCAGCTTGTACCACTAAATATCCAGGAGACGGCTGTTTAGGGAAGGTGCCTGTTTCTTCAGTAAATCCAGCCAAAAAAAGGCCAATCGAGGCGCAAAGGGTGTCTTATCTGTTACAGTGCCCAGGTATGATGGATACATAGATCGACGACATTAAACAAATATTCTTAAACTTTAATTTTTGACTGTCCGCAACTTAATGACTTTTTTTAAATTTTGAGACATAAATCAAATTAAATACATTTAGAGTCTTGGGAGGGCTAAAATGAACAAAACAAAATGTGGAATCACGGAAGGAGATAGGTCTCTGAGTAACGATTTTCCTCTTTTTCACTGAATTTACATTGTTGCATTTAGTGCCTCACTTGGTAACACTTTTAGATGTGATTCTGATTTCAGGGCAGCCCTCCGATCAGATGAGCACTAACGGTGGGGCAGAGCTTCCCAAAGTGACCGGCCCTCAGAGCCTCTTAGGCGGCGGTGGAGCTGACCAGATGCGCCGATACCGAACCGCTTTCACCAGAGAGCAGATCGCCAGGCTGGAAAAGGAATTCTACCGGGAAAACTACGTTTCCAGGCCCAGGAGATGCGAGTTAGCAGCGGCGTTAAATTTACCAGAAACCACTATCAAGGTGAACGGGAGACGGAGTAGGCTGTGCTGATACTAATCGTAAACAATAAGATCTGAAGATACACGAGAAGTGAATGCATTTTGCATTTGCTGGAAACGATGTTATCCACAAAAGACAGTAAAGGAGGAAAATAGAAGAGTATAGCCCTGTGTTTAATCACATTATCAGTCGCAAGCTAAACGATCGATAAAGAAAATGAGCTTATGTTTGGTACCCCTGATGAAAATAAATAGTTTATGCATCTTACTGAAATATCGGGCATTAGTTAGGGCAAAACGAAACCCTGAACACAAAATATATTCATGTAATGAAACGAAAGAATGTTCATTATAAATGCTGAGTGAGCAATGATTGCATTCAAATCCCGGTTCCTGGCATTCCGAGGGGGGATGGGGGTGGAGATGACATTATAGTAAATCTAAATCAATTTAGTTTAATCTGTTGCATTGATGCAACGTTTATGAGACCACTGAACACAGGTGACTCTAAATATTGTGAGTAAGGACAGGACAGTCACATTTTCATCTTTGTGAGCTATTGTTTGTTTCATGGATGTTATTTCCTTCCTGCTGTTCTGTGCACTTTTCATTTCAAGAAATAATGCTGCTAAAAACAGTCTTTGCTAGCCTTTACCATGAGCAGCGTACCCTCGCAAATGGTGAGTATTGGGGAATTGCAGTCCTGTGGGTAAAGTGTAACCCACCAGCTCTGAATGGGTTAACGTCAATGTGAGTCAGGTCACTCGAGGTTTCTCAGCACGTATATTTAGGTATCTATATGAGTTTATATGTATCATGTGCAGTGTATGAACTATTGACAAAAGATGGGGATTGATTTTCACGTACTTGTACTTTTGTTGTAGTATTTGCTTTGGGTTTTGTACAGCAGTTACAAACCGATTGAAAATCGACAAAATAAAATATCAGCATGCCAAAGAAAAAGTAAGCCTAGTGAAAGCTGGAATATAAATTGTCAAAGCTGAAGGGCCCAGTATCACAGCGAAAAGATCTCTGAGCGATCCTGTTATGCTCACTTCGCTTGCGATAAGTAGCCTTGTTCAACCTGAAATTACAAGCTTCTCCTTCCCCAAGGGCACAACCC